AGAAAAAATCAGTAGAAATGGCTAGACAAAAACAGAATTGTTACATTGGGAAAATATAGATGGAGTTTATATGTCTTGACTATGCTGAAATTCTGGTTCGGATTACTGTAACTACTAGATTCTGGGGGAGACAACATGAGCTTCACATTACAATGGAGAACAATTGCTAAGCTTCTATTGCCCAGATGACTAGGTTCAAATAAACCTTAGTTTGTTACACAAACTATACTTGGCTGGGTTTGCAAACATAAGGCATAAAACTGGTTTTCTGAGTGTCTGTCTCCTCTACATACTGGATTCTGCTTTTTCTTCAGAAGTTCAAAGTTGCTTGTTTCATTTTATCACTGAGCGGAGACACACAGTAACTGGCTCAAGGTCACACAATAAATTTCCACAGCTGAGGATGATCAAACTTACACTCCCAATCCTACCCTTATCCTAAAACCCTATATACACTAGCTGCACCACATAAGAAACCACAAACATCAAGGAGACTACAGATATCTTCCTTGGCGCCCATCAGAATCCCAGCCCCTCTTTAAATGTGTTAAAAACTTTATCAAAATACTAGCTTCCAGAATTATCTTTACATCCAAGAAAATACTTTGGTTCCACAAAGGCCCTGTAGTCAGAGGTGTCAAACTTATGTCGTCATGGCGGCATCATGTGACGTATCTGGACTTTTTCCCGCTTCGCTAAACCCAGCATGGGCATGGCCAGCACATGATACATCCAGCCCACAGTCTGGGAGTTTGATAGCCCTGCTGTAGGTCTTCTAAGAAAAATAGAGTAAGGAACTACAGTACATCCCAGTGCATTGTTGTAAAAGTGATAATCTTCTATAAAGAAAAAAAATCAGAAAAATAAAGAAAGGTTAATATTGATGGAGGGGCTAGAATGACTCACCTTGCCATCACTTTGCCTTCCAATGTCTGGTGTTTCGTGACTAGCAATGGTTCACCATAGTAACCACATTTTACATGGAGAAGAGCATCATAGCAGGGCTGTTTAGCTACATCTAAAGCAAGGTTTTCCCAATAGGTAAAGGAATGAGCCCATGATGTTGTGCAAATATACAGTGAAATGCCTCAGCAATCTAGCACAAAGAGTTTACAACCAATGGTTGGCTGACATGAGCTTCAGACATGCTGGTGAGGGCCACAGGTGGATGGTAAGGAGTGTGAGTGGGCTGGCAAGGGCCACACGGGGCACTAGAGAATGCAGACATGCCAATGGGGCTGTGGGCGGCAGGGATGTGCCAAGGGTGGGGCTGTGAGCTGCAGGGATTTGCCACATGCTATGGAGTGTTGGCAGGCAGAGAGCTGCTATGTAGTACAAGATCTCATATTCCATAATGGGGTTACCCAGGAGAAAGGAATTTATGGGAGCAACTTGCAACCTTCCCATTGTCTTTGCTAGCAGGAAGGGAAGGTCGCAAATGGTGATCACATGACTGTGGGATGCTTCAACCCTCATAAGTGGTAGCTGGTTGCCAATTGCCCAAATTATGATCACACAATGGGGGAGATGTGACACCTGGAACTTCAGGGATAGATTGTAAATAACATTTTTTCAATGCCATCATAACTTTGAACAGTCACCAAACAAGTGGATGTAATCCAATATTTAGTCAAAAATTAGAAAGTGAATATAAGCAGGGAAAAAGTGCTATATTTATATTTACACAGAAGTCCCAATACAGGTAATCCTTGACTTACAGCCATTTGTTTCATGACTGTTCCAAGTTACAACAGCACTGAAAAAGGGGAGTTTTTACAACAGCACTGAAAAAAGGGACTTTTTTCACACTTACGACCATTGCAGCATCCCCATGGTCATGTGATCAAATTTTGAATGCTTGGCAACTGGCATGTATTTGTGACGGTTGCAGTGTCCTGGGGTCATGTGATCACTTTTTGCGATTTTTCTGATAAGCAAAGTCAATGGGGAAGCCAGATTCACTTAACAATTGCAGTGATTCAACTTAACAAATGTGGCAAGAAATGTTGTAAAACATGCAAAACTCACTTAACAACTGTCTCACTTAGCAACAGAAATGTTTGGTTCAGTCATGGTCATAAGTTGAAGACCACCTGTACTGGATAAATTTCAGGCAATGTCATTTCCTGAAAAAGCTGGAAACATCCACAGAAGAGCAACAGCTGTTCATTTACCAGCTGTCAGAGAAACTCTGCATTTACAACCTATTGTAGGCAAGGCACGGCTCATAAACTGAAATTTAAAGGATGATCTGTTTGCTTTCTTATATATACAAGCCAAATTGCCACTGTCACTGAGCATCCTTTCACAGGAGAAAACTATTATTAACTATTTTAAATTATAATAATAACTTAACAGAAGAGTATCAGTGGTTCACAATGAGGAAAAGATTTATTATTGCAGCACTGATATGCTACCTAGGCTTGAGGAAGGACGTTACCAAGCCATAATTGTCTTATTAATATAAAATTGTCATTTAATATAATTCTGCACTTCAGCTATTTCACCCTTTCTAAAAAAAAATTAGGAGCAATATTGCCTATTCCCTGTGGGTAGGTCTTTGCCACTTTAATTAGCAAAGGCCAGTCCAAATGAAATTACAAAGAAAGCTATCATTAGCTTCCATAAGGCAATTGTTCTGATTAATATGCAGTAGAAAAACAAACTGTATGGCTTTTATATACCCATAATAATCATGCCCTCAAGTGTAAAACCTCTGTCAAAAATAGTTATGGTGAGCGATAAAACTGGGAGATTGCCAAATAAAGAGTCCCCTCCTCGGCCATATATATTTCCATTTAAATGCTATGCATTTGACTCATATGACCCAACTGCATTGTTAAAGTAAGAACTGTGCCTCTGTTACACTTTTCAAACTTAAAATGATTCACCTCGACTATATGCTTTTAAAATTCACCCTTCGTTTTTTCCTTGTAACATACAGCCAGAAGAATATAGCAAAACAACAGTGAATACAAAAATTCTTTTTTTCAAGAGGCACCTGGACTTTCTTGTTTTTCTTTGAAGATGTTTCGCTCCTTATCCAAGAAGCTTCTCCAGCTCTTAACTAGGTGGTAGGGAATGGAAGGATTTATATTCCTTGCAGATAGCTGGTCATTTGCATTCTTTTAGAAAATCGTTGAGGCCACTGGAGGTTTATCTGTGTCCTCAGGATCCCCTGAATAATGCAAATGGGTGTGGAGCTTTCTTGGAATTGCTGAAAGGACTATGTTGCAGACTGGTGATAGATGATGCTTTGTTGAGAGAGGTTTGTTAAATTTTGACATAGATGGCCCCTTTGACCCCTCTTTCAAACCAAAGGTCCTCTGTCCAAAATGTTGACTTTGCTGTCTTCAAAAAAAGTGGGCTTTGTCTTTAAATGCAGATGGACTGTTGATTCTTGTCTTCATGGGTTTGTTCTCCTATGTTGTGCCATGAGTTTTTGAAGTGGTTGTTTTGTTTCCCCAATGCAAGTGAGACATGTGCAGATCTGTACATTGGGGAAACAAAACATCCCTCTCTCAACAGGATACAACATCAGGAGAAGGATACAACATCATCTATCTCTGGTCTACAACATAGTCCTTTCAACAGTTCCAAGAAGGCTCCACACCCATTTGCACTACTCAGGTGACATTGTCTTCTGTCAAATGGAGTATAATTCACCAGGGAATCCATTCTTCACATTTTTGTTTATTTAATGATTTATTAGATGTTATATCTTTCATCTAGGTACTCCATCTAAAAAAAAATCTGATAATAATTCACTCAGTTGATGAAATAATTCATCTATTTAAATAATTTCATCTATGAACAATTAAAAAAAACCTGAAAAACGTGTATGTATAGTAAGAACTACAAAATATTTTTAAAACAAATATTATATTAGTATCACTTAAATAGGACGAGATCAAATCTAGCAAATAGTATTTGCTTTTTTTAGTAATAGAACTTCATATATAGAATATTATACTGGAGACTGGGTTAGAACTTGAATGGAATAAACAGCTTCTATTCATTATTGCCTTCTGTTTAACCACTGTCCCACAATTACTTCTTAGAAGTCAAGCTGGTAAAGCAATTATAATTGTACCACAACAAACAAACAAATCTCTGCTATGAGTTATTAAAATATTCATGTCTGTGGTCAGTGGGACTTCTTCCTAAGAAAGTGAGGATCAGACCATTGTCAAAGCAGAAGAAATTTGATGATATTCATGAAGCAAAAGTAAGAGGCTATGGGAAATTGTTCTTAATATACAATGTTCTACAAACAAAATCTCTTTTTGTCAGAAGAACAATCCAGAGGAAAAATAATTTAGGAGTCTACCACAGAGTATAAGCACAGATTATTATTTATTATTACACTGAAAACACCTATAAATACCTATTCTTCTATGTCTCCAGGATTTTTTTTTAATCCACTGAAGAACCTAGGCTAGTTATTTTCAATTAGTCTTTTTCATTACCTTTACAAACATGCTGGACTCAACAAATGGAAAACATTTACTTGCTTCAGTGGTATCAGAATTCTTTATATTATCATGCCTGGTTGTTACTATTGCCACTTGTTTCAATGGCAAATTTAATTCATTTCTCTTCTTGATTCTGCATGTTCACTCAGTGATATGTGTCAACACTTCATAAATTAGAATGTCTACTAATTTCCCAGTGCAGAAATCAGTATTTGCTAATGACGCATCAAAATTAAGTGCTCATTGTCTCAACAATAAAAATTATTTCAAATTCCAATTCCATGCTGAATTTCTCTGCCTTGAACAACTAGGCCATATTATACAGCACTTGTGTGCTTCATGACCTTATTTAACCTTAACCAACCAATCAACCCGTAAACAGAAAATTTGGCTAAAAACTCTGGCTTTTGTAATGATCAAAACCTGCATTTTCTCCCCTTCTAAATTATAACGTGCCTGAGGTGGAACAGAGCAAAACAGAGTTCAAGTTGTTGTATTCAATTTGAACCTTCTATGATTACATACCTGCAGGGAAGCAAAGTCTTTAGAAGCACAGGCTCCAAGAATAGCAGCACCCATTAGCACAGACTCCACTTCTTGGGCTAGAACAACAGGCATGCCTGGGCAAAGACAACAGATCAGTTAAAGGGCCTGAGGTATGAAGCATGTAAGAAACACCTCTCCCTGAAGTATTGAAACAGTTGCTTCTTTTAAAGGCTGAGATGGCTTCTTGGTATGATCTTCTTGGTGTGCCCTAAGCATTAAATGCAAGCCAAATTCAATGTGGAAACAGTCAAGAAACCTGTAGTGCAGGGGTGAAATTCAACCACCTCACGAGAGGTGGTAGGGACGATTTGAATCAGTTCAGAGAGGTGGTAGGGACAATCTGAATCGGTTGGCCCCGCCCACACCAGCCCGCCTTCTTCCTTTTAGAGACCGAGTCCCACCAAGCCATGCCCACCAAGCCACGCCCACAGAACCGATAGGGAAAAATTTTGAATTTCACCCCGAGTAGCGATAAATACTATCTCAGGATACATAGATGAAATTAATTGGTTTTCCAATGTAAAAAATATTTTGATAAAATACTATTGTTTAACCTTGTGGAGGAACAAAGTTAAAGATTGACTTTTGTAGCTGTCATGCTATAAATGTATTTTTTAATTTACTTGGTGCTTATGTTTCACATCATTGTAAGTGCCTTCAAACAATGAATATATTCATCTTGCCCTCTGAACAATATGAATCTGAGGCTTTTAAATGGTCTATGAAATTATCTATTGGTAGCCCGTATAATTGGCTAATGGGCACTTGAATTTAACAGTAATATATTCAGTATTTCCCTGTCTTTTCTTGGAAGAATAGGGGATTGATAGAGGAATGTTAACTATTTTATCAGATAGATTTTAATGAGGGCAAGAAAACCAAGAGCATTTTAGTCAGATGAACTCTGACATCTTATGTCAATCACAGTTCCTACAATCAGGAAAAATTCCTAAGCTGGAGAAAGGCCTCTTTGTCCAACTTTCTGCTTGGCTATTAGATACAGTCAAAGGACCCCAGTTTAAAATTTAATCAGAATTATCTATTAATAGATCTTTAATTTTAGACATCAGAAAGGAGCTCTTGGTACCAAAGCTATTTGAATTAGATAAGGAAAAAGGTGCGCACTTGATGAAATCACATTGGACAAATAGAAAAGACCGCTGTGGCAACAGCCTGTTGTGTATATTTAGCCCAGGTCAAGACCTTGTATCATTTGGTTCACTTTTTCTGCTTTCAAGAAATGTAATTACTTAATGCTGATTTTGATCTCAATTCCTGGTTTGATGTTGAAGAGATGCAAATCTAAAAGCAAAATACCCAGAGCCCAAGCTTTAGGCTTGATCTAAACCATATTGGTTCCTCTGAAGAATAAAGGACTCATATGGTTCATGGTTTGTGTTTAATCCCAACCATAGAAATACATTTTCCACAGGTGAAATATGTATTCTTTTTAACCACAAGATATATCCAAAGATACTCATGCAAAAATGACAAATTAGGTGAATTAGGATCTCCTCTTATAGACAGGTAATTTGCTCTAAGTGCTATTGACATTTTGACCAGAAGAGTGAATCTACTGACATCTTCTGATTTAAAATGTGCCAATTTTATGTATGTTTAGTATTTGATAAATGGCAAATGCTGAATATTATGAATTGAATGTGACTCCTTGCCTACTTTGAATTAATAGACATATTAAATCCTACAACATATGGTTTACATGGTTGAGTTACTTGAAAAATTAAAAATATTCATTTACTTACAACCAATTATTAAGAAATAATCCATCAGAAAAATGCAACTGTTATTTCTGGGCAAGCACCAGAAATATCATTCCACAATGGTGCGTACTATGAATTATTTCAAGTAGTGATATTTACTTATCTTTATATAGGAACATTGGAATTTCTTTTTGATTGAATCAGACTTATTCATCAATTTCAACACAATTTATAATTATTGCTATGCCTATCAGAACAATCTAAAAGGATAAATCCCGAAGATTCTCCTTACAAGCCCCAGTAGCGCAGTAGTTAGAGTGCAGTACTGCAAGGCTACTTCTGCTGACTGCTGGTTGCCTGAAATTTGGCAGTTCAAATCTCATCAGGCTCAAGGTTGACTCAGCCTTCCATCCTTCCGAGGTGGGGAAAATGAAGACCCAGACTGTTGGGGGCAATAGGCTGGCTCTGTAAACCGCTTAGAGCGGGCTGTAAAGCACTGTGAAGCAGTACAGAAGTCTTAAGTGCTATGCTATGCTAAGTGCTACAAAATGTAGGCATTGCTATTGTATTTTACCTCTTCTCAGATTTTTTGAGAGTTGAATGCAAGTGTCCCTTTTTTCATTGATTTTTTTTTATCTATCCTACTTGCATCTAGCTGTGGTTCAGCTTAATGACTTTAACTTTTCCAACAAAACACTGAGATACTATTAATATTAACCAGGAAAGGTAAAATGTGCAATGGCAGAATCCCAATCTACAGATAATCCTTGATTTATGATCAAAATTGAGTTCCAAATTTCTGTTGCTAAGTAAGACAGCTTTGCTCCATTTTATGACCATTCTTGCCACAGTTGTTAAATGAGTCACTGCAGTTGTCAAGTTAGTTGCAGGGTTGTTAAATGAATCTGGCTTCCCCATTGACTTTGCTTGTCAAGCAGTCGTAAAAGGTGATCTCATGACTCCGGGACACTAGACTAGATGCTAGACTCAGTATAGTGCAGATTTCTTCCTCTGTACTCTGAAACTTACCAATGATGTCCGCGTGCATTTGGACAAAGAGAGGGTTTTTGCTCAGACCGCCACACATAAAGAGAGTGTTGATATGATGCCCTGCGACTTGCATTGTTTCAACAATATGCCTGGTTCCCAACTTAAATGCAACAGAACATAAAGGAATATCTATTAACAAAAAGTGGTACAGGTAAAATGGTTCTTTAAAAAGCTGAAAAGCCATAGTTATTTCCACTGATAAGAAAGAAGAGTTTTTTAAAAGCTGGGATCAACAGTAACTATAATGTTGCCTTTATTTCTGTTTTTGACATTAAATTGTCCGTCTACGCCTCCAGATTAATTGTAAGACAGACATTAGCTTATAAGAAAAACATACAGAGAAGTACATCCTCTTCCTCAAATAGTTGAAGAAATACAGGAATTAACATTATTAAACATACAGCAATCATATTTTTTATCCCTCTTTTATATCCATTTTAATACGTTTTTGTTTAGAAATCAATTTAGTTGTAATAGCTCCGATCAAGAGCATTTTTTTTCAACTCTAACCTTTGACTTACCTTTTGAAAAAGTAAAATAAAATTAAAACAACAGAAATAAACATTTAAATGGGTTTACGGGATTTTTGTTTCGCATTTCCAGCTCATGCAGAGAAACCCTTTGAACACTAACTGTATATTTAAAATTGGTTTTTGGATTTCATCTGAAAGAAAATAAAAACCTCAAAAGTAACATTACTGCCAAATCTACCCTTTGTCAAATTCATAATGCTAAAGAATTCCCTCAGCATTTAACACTGAACATCTTCTGAAGCATGGCCAAAGTTCATTGTAAGATTTACAATGTACTGCAAATGCCTGTAGAGACTTTGCTGGAATATTTAAGAAAAGCAGAGTTAAGCTTCAATTGTTTATTTCATCCTGATTAAGTTTCACGGGGATTTTGATTTAAGATAGGTAGGTCTGGCAAACTCTTAACATTAGCAAGGGCATCTAATGAAAGGCACAATACAATTAATGACATACAATATGTTAATTAGATGTGGATGATGGGAAATGTAATTCAGCTCTTCTAGAGATTATCAGACTGAGGAAAACTATCCTATGCCCATTACTTTCATTACTAAAGGACAGATATTCACTTTTTAAAATTGTGTCTTGCTTTGAGATTGTGAATGGTTTCATTTTTAACTACTGCAATTTTACCACTTGAGAGCACTGTGGATATTTTTCAGAATTCCACCAACCCATGTTTATCTAGATATCTGTAACATTAATTGAAGTTAATATTTATAATATCTCCACACACACAGAAATAACCTTTCCCCCATCTCAAACCTAGTTATTCTGTTTTTCTTCTCTGCACTATGACACCACTAAAATTATCCTTACCTTTGCCTGAAAAAGGTCACAGCAAAGTTTAAGGTGAAACTAACTCATTTTTTTTGAGTTCACATCAATATAATTAATATAGATTCATTATCTTATGCATTACTACAGATAGTCCTCAACTTACGCTCACAACTGAACCAATAGAACATTTCTGTTGGTAACTGAGACATTTGTTAAGTGAGCTTTGCCCCATTTTATAAACTTTCTTGCCACAGTTGTTAGGTGAAACACTACAGTTGTTAAATTAGTTACACAGTTGTTAAGTGAATCTGGCTTCTACATTGACTTTGCTTATCAGAAGGTCGCAAAAGGGGATCATATAACCCTGGGACTGCAACTGTCATAAATATGAGCCAGTTGCCAAGCATCTGAATTGATCATGGAAATGCTACAATGGTCATAAGTGTGAAAAAACCATCATAAGCCACTTTTTCAGTCCTGTAACTGAACAAACTGTTGTAAATCGGGAATTACCTGTATAAGGAAAACTATGCAGTCTAAGAGATATGCAAATGCCACTTTCCTGCAAAATCCCTTATTAGAAAGAAAACAGATGAGCTTTTAGAAAGTTTAAGTGATATTTAATACATGTGAACAACATGTGGTCTGAGGTTGTACACAGTTGTAAGTTAATATAGTGTGACTGTAATATTTTTATTCCTATAAAATAGTGGCTAATTTCCAAGCAAGAAAGTTATATTTCCAAAATGCCCTTAAGCGTTAAAAGTAATATTTTTTGAATTTTACAAAAAATAGCAGGCCCTGATCCATTGGTTTTCTTTATTGTTTTAGTTGCTCCAGTGCTAAAAACCAGCTCTGTATATTGGTGAGTAATAACCTCCCCCACTCACATTATTATGTGTTACATTATATATGCAGTACCTCTGTAAAAAAAAATAACACAGGAGGGACCAGGGAGTTTAATTTCAAAGCACAATAGAATCTAGGAGAAAGAAACACTTGAATAATAATAATAGATGGATTTCCCAGGATACCCAACTGAGAAAACTTCCACCTCATTAGCATAAAATAATGCCAGAGTGCTTGTTTGGCAAAGAAGTATTGTAGTCTTTCACAAGATAATATTAGTAGTTCACATTTTCTGAGAAACAATTTGCATTTTTTATTTAAATCGAAAAGAGTGGCATGAAAGTACACCACTGTTGTACTATCAAAGAACAGTAATAATAAGATTAGCAGATATACATCCTAGCTATATAAAAAATCATCCTGTTTGTGTCCGGGGAAGTGTTAAAACTCTGCAAATGGATTTCAAGAAATTGGTCTCATTGCTAAACTGAGCAGAGCAATATTGTGGAACACTCTAGCAAAGAACAGAAGCTATTTGATTATGACAAACGAAAGCTCTGTAACAGATTTTATGGTCATCCGCAAGGTTGTATCAATTATAAATGTCCACATATGAGGAAGATGAAGCAAATGACATCACATGGTGTTGTGACTAATGACAATTACAAAATTCACGATGTGTATCATGTTGTTGTGACCTAGAATAGACTATGAGAGCAATAGTGGAAGCACTATATTATACTGTTGAGACAGGAATTTTTGGAAGAGAGAATGTTATTTAGAAGATGGAATATTACTGAAGTTTAAGATTGTGATCTCAGGGCTTGTTTATTGATTGATTGATTAGATTTAATTCGATTTCTTTAGCTGCCCGTCACAGCAAACGACACTGGGCAGCTCACAATTCAAAACATACACTGCTCAAAAAGATAAAGGGAACACTTAAACAACACAATGTAACTCCAAGTCAATCACACTTCTGTGAAATCAAACTGTCCACTTAGATAGCAACACTGATTGACAATCAATTTCACATGCTGTTGTGCGAATGGAATAGACAAGAGGTGGAAAGCATAGGCAGTTTGCAAGACATCCCCAATAAAGGAGTGGTTCTGCAGGTGGTGACCACAGACCACTTCTCAGTTCCTATGCTTTCCGGCTGATGGTTTTGTCACTTCTGAATGCTGGCGGTGCTTTCACTCTAGTGGTAGCATGAGACGGAGTCTACAACCCACACAAGTGGCTCAGGTAGTGCAGCTCATCCAGGATGGCACATCAATGCGAGCTGTGGAAAAAAGGTTTGCTGTGTCTGTCAGTGTAGTGTCTAGAGCATGGAGGCGCTACCAGGAGACAGGCCAGTACATCAGGAGATGTGGAGGAGGCCGTAGGAGGGCAACAATCCAGCATCAGGACCGCTACCTCCGCCTTTGTGCAAGGAGGGACAGGAGGAGCACTGCCAGAGCCCTGCAAAATGACCTCCAAATGTGCATGTGGCTGCTCAAACGGTCAAAACAGACTCCATGAGAGTGGTATGAGGGCCCGACGTCCACAGGTGGGGGTTGTGTTTACAGCCTAACACCGTGCAGGACGTTTGGCATTTGCCAGAGAACACTAAGATTGGCAAATTCACCACTGGCGCCCTGTGCTCTTCACAGATGAAAGCAGGTTCACACTGAGCACATGTGACAGACATGACAGGGTCTGGAGACGCCGTGGAGAACGTTCTGCTGCCTGCAACATCCTCCAGCATGACTGGTTTGGCAGTGGGTCAATAATGGTGTGGGATGGCATTTCTTTAGGGGGCCGCACAGCCCTCCATGTGCTCACCAGAGGTAGACTGACTGCCATTAGGTACCGAGATGAAATCCTCAGACCCCTTGTGAGACCATATGCTGGTGCGGTTGGCCCTGGGTTCCTCCTAATGCACGACAATGTGGCTGGAGTGTGTCAGCAGTTCCTGCAAGACAAAGGCATTGATGCTATGGACTGGCCCTCCTGTTCCCCAGACCTGAATCCAATTGAGCACAGACCTGAATCCAATGTCCCACTCCATCAACCAACGCCACATTGCACCACAGACTATCCAGGAGTTGGGGGATGCTTTAGTCCAGGTGTGGGAGGAGATCCCTCAGGAGACCATCTGCCACCTCATCAGGAGCATGCCCAGGCATTGTAGGGAGGTCATACAGGCACGTGGAGGCCACACACACTACTGAGCCTCATTTTGACTTGTTCTAAGGACATTACATCAAAGTTGGATCAGCCTGTACTGTTTTTTTCCACTTTAATTTTGAGTGTAACTTCAAATCCAGACCTCCATGGGTTGCTAAATTTGATTTCCATTGATAATTTTTGTGTGAGTTTGTTGTCAGCACATTCAACTATGTAATGAACAAAGTATTTAATAAGAATATTTCATTCATTCAGATCTAGGATGTCTTATTTTTGTGTTCCCTTTATTTTTTTGAGCAGCGTATATTACAATTAATATTTTAAAACCAGTAAAATAGTAAAAAAAAGATCAGTAAAACAGTCAAAACATTAAAATGTCCAATTCAAAGTGCATACAAAAGCAAGATATCTGGCCTTTAATAACATAGCCAGGAGGTGGGGTCCTTGGCACATGTAGCATCCCAGGTTCAGGAGCACAATTAGGTCTTTAAAGCTTTATGGAAGGCTAATGGGGTTGGGGATGTTCTAATATCCAAAGGGAAAAATGTTCCACAGAGCAGGAAATGATGCAGAAAAAGATGGCCTTCTACTGCCTGTCAGCCGATATTCTTTGACTGTCCCAAGTCCAACTGATGCCCATGTCCAACTGATCTAATTGGAAGGGTAGAAACTCTTGGAAAAAGGTGATCCCTCAGGTCCCTAGCCATCTAGGGCAGTGATGGCTAACCTTTTCCATGTTGCGTGCCAAAAGTGCATGTGCATGCATGCGCTCACATGCCTGACCCATGATGCAATGTGTGCATGACTCCCCCCACCCCTGCGCATGCACAGGTGACCCCGAGTGTGCACCGCGCACCTCTGAACATGTGTGCACGACCCCGCACCGCATGTCTCTGTGCATGTGCACACAACCGCCCTTGCACGTTTCATGCCTCTGTGCATGCGCGCATCTCCCACACACGCATCTCCCCCCACGCATATGCGGCAGATACCCGACAATCAGCTGACTGGCAGGGAGCACATGCACATACACAGTGGGGCTCTTCCGGGAAACTTCTCATGTGCCAGCAGACATGGCTCTGCGTGCCACTTCCGGCACGCATGCCATAGGTTCGCCATCACAGATCTAGGGCTTTACAGTTACCACCAGCACCTTGAATTGCACCTAGAAATACAATGGTAACCAGTGCAGCTCATCACATAGGAATGATATTACATGTGCCGTATATCTGGCATGAGTGACAACCTACATGGCTGCCTTCAGTACTAATTGAAGTTTCTGAATGATCCTCAAGGGCAGCCCAATGGAGAGTGTGTTCCAGTAGTCTAATCTGGAGGTTAAAACGGTGTGAATTTTGAGAGCATGGCCACCCATTCCAGGCATGGGCACAACTAACACGCCACCCAAAGGTGTGCAAAGAACCTCCTGGATATGGCTGCCGCCTGCTCTTTGAGCAGGAGCCACAAGTCCAGAAGGCCTCTCCAGGTTGTGCACTGGGTCTGTTTGGCGCAGTGCCGCTCCATCCAAAACCAACTACGGAAATCCTTGTCTCTGGGGAATCCAAATACCGACAGCCACTCTGTCTTGCTAGAGTTGACTCCAAGTCCTTTTCAGTCCCATCCAGTCCCCAACAAACCCCATAGGACATTCATGGCATTACCCAGAAGAGCCTTTTTTTTAAAAAAAAAAAAACTTTATTTTGAACTGAGTCCAAATTAGTGTAGTTTGTTGTTCCAGCAAAAAGCCAATAGCCAGAAATCTATAGTCAAGCTAATCCTTGGCATGCATCATATCCTGGAATGTCTTTAAGTTATTTAGAAATGTGATGTATAATGAATATTAGAAAAGTATTGGAAGATCACAGGATCAGCTGCCACTTTATTCCACAAGGAAAAAGAAAATTTAATTAATTACTATCTGCTAATAATATGTGCCTTCATCATTCCCTTCCCTCTTGCTATTTGTTGAATAGAAAAATAAAATGGCCACTGAAATTTTCTCAGCCATAAGAAGTGAACTACTTATATGCAACAGTATCTTGAAAAGTCAGTGAAATAGTTTTCTTGTCTTTTTAGCTCCTAAACTCTTGGCCTGAAGTAAAAAAAAAACCTGCTTTCCAGATGTACAGCCAGGCTGCCTCCTAAAAAATCAAGTACAACATATCAATCAATAGTGCCAGTAGTCCACACTACTGTTTGTGACATAACCAACATCACTGTACTCCATATCTTTCAAATGAAATTTTCCCCTGTTGAATAGGACAGTTTATATGGGAAGACAGATTTGGAGAGGAGACAACATAAATACAAATGTAAGTTCATTTGAAATTTCTTTTCTTTTTGTACTTCCCTCTTTTAAAAAAAATGCAGCTGACATATTGTCTGAATTACTCCACAGAATAATATTAGGTTTAGGCCATTGTGGCAGTGCAGTGGTTAGAGTGCAGTAAGTACTCCAGGCTACTTCTGCTGACTGGCGGCTGACTAAAATTTGGCAGTTTGAATCTCACCAGGCTCAAGATTGACTCGGCCTTCCATCCTTCCAAGGTGGGTAAAATGAGGATCCAAATTGTTGTGGGAAATATGCTGACTCTGTAAACCGCTTAGTGAGGGCTGTAAAGCACTGTGAAGTGGTATATAAGTTGAAATGCTATTGCTATGCTATTGTGGGAAATGTTAGTGCTGATAGTTATTTCTACAGGATACCAATGCCATCCTTTGCAGCAACAAGAAAAGAAAAAGAAGAAACCCTCAATGCTATTGCATTGTTAATATTAAGCCTTAGATAAATTATTTCACTTTCTCCATTCACAATAGATCTAAGAATTTCAACAGTCATTTTCTGTACAAAAAATAACATATTATGAACCCAAGAAAAGAAAGCTTCCTTCAAATCTTAGGGAAAATTTATTCAACTTACCGCAATGGCTTGGACTGTCGCTAGATAAATAAGAGCAAGATCATCAAGACTTTGAGACAGTGTCAAACCCACTACCTGAAGGGAACAAGAACATTTTTGTACTTACTAATTTCTTTTCCAAGAGATGATTCTAATAAATTGTATTACAGAAGTAATTTATGGATTTCATTATCACATGGTCCGGTAATAACCTCTAACTCGAATTGCTTGGATTGCATAAATTTAACCATACAGTGCATGTTGTGAATCAATAAAAGTTACTAGCATAAATGCAAATCAGGGTTTGGGAACCTGCATACCTGATTGGCTCTTATACAACAACTAGGGATTGGTCCATAAGTAGTCCCTGATTGGCCACTATTTGGACACTTCTCATTGGTTATAAGTTTGAACTTATTG